CCCAGCCATCGTATGCCGGCCGTGAAAGCCTTCGACAATACATATTCCTGAGTTAAATACCAGCTACCTAGGCAAAAAAAATCTTCTTGCTATTAAAGCAAAATAACAGGATGATTATCAAAAAGGAAACAGCAACCCAAGGAAGGGAAACACATAGAATTATTTGATTTAGGATAAAAAAAAAAAAATAACACCCCTTATAACGGTAGATTTGGGTTGCTAGTATAGTTACTGATAATAGCGCATGGCGCTTTGCAGAGTACCAAAAAAGTTCTGTTATCCTTGAATTGTGATAAACTGATCCCATTTTTTTAACGATACCTACGTCCCTAAAAAAGATGATCCAAATTATACTTCAGAGGGTGCTTACATTTCTAAAACGAACAAGTCTTCTTTTGAAGCCATTTCCTGCCACCAGATCTGCTTCAGAAACATAGAGGACACAGGATCTATTTGGAAGATGAAAGTCCACAACTCCCAGGCCATCTTCTAGAATAAGCTTAATTTTCCCTTAAATGTGAGAAGCAATAAAAACTAGCAACCGCCATACTATTTTAGGTACGCAATTCCTATTTGAGTGAAACGTTGGTTGGGTTTACGTATCCTGCTAAGTTTGATTTTAACATTGTGCGAATCCAATATATTAAAACAGAACTCAATTGTAAATTATCAATAAGCTATGTTTAAACAAACCATGCCTTAGCACACTCTGCAAATCAAGCTGTTGTTTCATCTCCAAGTTCTAAGTAAGTTATTCAGCCAACGGTTTCAAGAGTGATCATTTCCAAAAACGTTTAGCACTACAGACTGAAAGTTTGCATTTAAACCAGACTTCAAAATCTGGCTTGCCATAATATTTTATTTATAGTATATAAAACTTGCATTCAAATTAATGAGAATTAAAACATTTCTGATAAAAATAATACCTACCCCTTGTGATCTAGTGGTATCTTTGGATTATCCTAGCTTAATAAAATGAGACACCCTACATTTTCTGGCTGTTTAGATAACCCATGGCCACTCTGGATGTTTGGGAAAATTATAATTAATAACTCCAGACCAAACAAAGATACTAAGCTCATATTTTGTAGTGTGATTAATACTCTGAAAGCCATTCACTGCAATATTCTAGTTCTAATAAAACAGGAAACCACAGTAAACAAGATCACCCAAACACAGGCAACATCCCTATCAGGTTTCCTTTTGCAGAAAACAGAAAAAGAAAGTCCACTGGAGTTGGGTACCCAATAAATTTAAACAAATAACAATGTCACTGGTTTAATTTGCAAATTCTAGGACGTTTTGGTAAGCAAAATTCTGTCTTTTCAACCAAGTACAATTTACCTTGCATCTCCTGAGCAATCTGTGAGCCCTTCCATTTCTCATGGCCAATCACGTGGCCAAAAGGAACATTTACAGCTCCTGCCCGGACCGGGGTGATATTATTTGCCATTATTAAACTTCCTTTGCTCTTGTAAGGTTATTTGTAACATGCAAGGGAAAAACAATCAACCTGTTATTCTGAAAACACAGAAACTGTACATTTCTCAGTAATCAGAGTTTGCCCATGAAATCCAAGTAGCTTCCCACTGATGGCGTTCCAGAAGGCTCTTCTCTTAGGTCCTGGGGGGTTAGAGCCCCTGCTGGTTGCATGATACTTGTTCTATACGTTGACTGCAATCTATAGAAAACAGTAAACAGATGGAGGATCCAATGTTTATATTGCTTTATATTGTGAGTTGGCCAAAGTCAGTCTGGAATCAGGGGCAGCTAAAGTGAATAAATAAATTTAAAAACCACAGTCTTTTGGGAACTATGGACAAAGAAGAGTTTACTACTGTTATTAATTCACATTTATTTGAACTTCATCTAGTAAAGATCCAGGATTAAGCATATGGGAGACTATGGGCAGACAGCCACTGGGAAATCGTATATCTCAGAGTGAAGGAAATGATTTGTGGGATAGCCCTAACAAAACATTATTCCACTTGTGGAGGCACTGCTGTTGCATGAAAGCATGTCAAAATTCTACTGCTGCCACACATATACATAATGTGCAATTCGGGCAAATTTTATGCACATGCATGGTTTAGCACAGTGTTTTTCAAGCTGTGTGGACTTTCACTCCCAGAATTTCCCAGCCAGCATGTCCACCCATCTTACAGATGCCAAGTTTGAAAAACACTGGCCTAGCATAAGGTTAAACCTAAGAGACCTCCTCAAACTGGCTCCCTGCAGATGAGAAGGATTTATTTCTCCAAGATAGTGGACACTGCAATACCTGGAGACAGCAGAATAGAAGAGAAAGAAGTGGAGAAAATCACAAGATACAAAGACCTCAAACAGAAGTAGAATGACTGTGGCAAAAGCAAGCAAAGGTAGTACCAATAGTAAGAGGTCCCTTGGGCGCAGTTTCAAAACAACTGGAGCACAGCTTGAACACCCTCAGCACTGACAAAATCACAATCAGTCAGTTGCAAAAGGCAGCTTTACTTGGAACAGCTGACATCCTGCAATACATTTAATATTATTAAACAAGAACATCTGCCTATCCCAGGTCCTTGGGAAGGACTCGATAGGTGGATAAAAATGCCAAATCCAGTCTAAACATCTGGCTGACTGTGCAACCAGCCATAATGATTCATTAAATGTATATATTATTAAACAAGAACATCTGCCTATCCCAGGTCCTTGGGAAGGACTCGATAGGTGGATAAAAATGCCAAATCCAGTCTAAACATCTGGCTGACTGTGCAACCAGCCATAATGATTCATTAAATGTATATATTATTAAACAAGAACATCTGCCTATCCCAGGTCCTTGGGAAGGACTCGATAGGTGGATAAAAATGCCAAATCCAGTCTAAACATCTGGCTGACTGTGCAACCAGCCATAATGATTCATTAAATGTATATGCCACCCAGCTCCCAGCAACCCTGAGAAATCCTAAGAATAGACTGGGAAGGATAGGAGTCCTTATCCCAGCTCTTTAACACTTTAACATCCAACTAGAGGCAGCTGGAGAGCTGTTCTTGCAAACAGAATCTAGCACAGCTGGAAAGGAAAATTATCTAGCCATGGTGCCCAGGTGGGCTTTCCACACTTTTAGAAGGGTCTTTTAAGGGAAGTTTGGCTAGTGGTTCCCACACTGTCTTCTTTCAAGTTAAGTAAGAGAGACTCCTTCCTCCAGGTATTTCTAAAATAAGCATTCCAGGACCAGAGGGCGATTGCTTTTTTTTTTTTAGCGTACCTTATTCTAATTTATTTTTTTCAAAGTGCTGTTTATATTTTTTTTAACATTGCTTTGCAAAGTGCAATGGACCCCTCTGCTTATATTTCTTAATACTGCTTTGCAAAGTGCAACGGACCCCTCCAGAGAAAGAGTCGAAAGGAAAAGGGTTATGGAACCATCCTCTTCCGTGAAACGCGTATGCTCGCTGGTTTCCAATGATGTGCAAAAGCAAAGCCCGCGAACGCCAGTTGCAAAGTACGCCTCCTACCATAACGCTTAAAACCCTGCACGGCAATCTCCAAAAACAATGCAAAACCTCCAGCGCCTTCCAATACACGTGCGAACGGGCACACACATGCAGGCAAACCAAGAGAACTCCTATTCAGCGCTTAAGCACCAACCGTCCTTCAGCTTCTGCTTCCACCTTTTCCAGCAGCGCGCGGCAGCCAATCGCATCCCTCCACTCCTTTCTTCCCGCCTCCCCGACAAAAGTAGGGCGTAAGGGGCGTGGCGGTACCTAACGGACGCTGGTTGCTAGGCGAAGGCGGCATCAGTAAGGCGTAGGTCGATTGGACAAAGCGGGAAGCCATAACCAATCCTCTTGCGGCTAGTTCCGGGGTGGTTGCGAGGAGGGAAGCGTCTTAGTGTTCAGGAGGGGAGGGGGTGCCGCTCCCTCTGCCCGGCGCGGCCTGCTCTGTCTCTTCCCTTCACTCTCATTCTTCCTCAGCCCTTTCGCCCTCATGCCGTTTTATTTCAGGAGAGGCCGAAGAGGCCTGTTTGTGAGTATTTTTTTTTCCCGTGGGGGGGATTGTTCAAAGGGAGGGAAGGTCCCCTTCCCCAGAGGAGGAATGCAAGGACGATGAGCTGGCGGTCCCTGATGGCAAGCATGGCTCCGGTTCCCATGGCAACCAGATCGCTAGCTCTGAGCATCCCAGGTTGGACCTGGAAGGAGGGGACCAGAAAGTGAAACAGACTAACCAAAACCCGAGTGGAGCAATGGAACAGCCTGCCTCTTGAAATTGTGGGGGCTTCATCATTGGAGGTTTCCAAGAAGACACTGGACAGTCATTTGCCCAGAATGGTGGGAGGATTTCTGCATTGGGCAGGGGGTTGGAATAGAAGACCTCCAAGGTCCCTTCCGGCCCTATGATTCTATGATTCAAGGGAGGCACCTGGGAAAAGTTCAGTTTTTGTTTGCCCTAGTTTCACATCATGAAGTATACCCCCCCCCCCACCTTTTGAAAGCCAGGTGAGGTGGCTGCTCTGGATCCCCACAGCGTGTATGCCACAATTAGGCTGAAATCCTGGGTGATAGGATAGGTTTTCCAAGACTGCAGAAGATGTTTTGCAGAAAGATACTCTAGAGGGTGTTTTCCTGGCTATAAAAAAGGTTCTGCCCCACACTTGGATTTTGGGCTTAGAAGCATGTTCAGTAATGTAATTATGCAGCATGTGTGCAGCCTATTTCAATGAATATTGAATGAAATAAAACTTACTGCATTGAATCTTATAAATACTGTATAGATGTATAGGAATCGTGTGCTAGTGAGAGTTTGCACACTGGGGTAATCCACACTTCCTCAGAATTATTGCTTACCTGAAATTAGTACTTTGCTATTTTATTTTATTTATCAAATTTGTCACTGCCCATCTCGTTAAAAAGCAACTCTGTTTTAGTGAGTCACTTACGTTTGGTTGCCAAACAATTGTGGCTAGTGACTTGAAAATTTGAAATTTTGGCTTGCTCCTCTCTGACTAAGCCAGAGTTAGAAGACAAAACCCAACATTAGTTTCTGGGTTGGTCCGAGAGGGGTAAGTCAGAGTTCTTGGTTTGCATGTTTTGATGAATAAATGATGAAGGTGACTAGGTACGTTAACTACATTTGGTGGAAGGAGGAGCCAAGCAAACAGTACAGTAGCAATTGTATACTTTTCTATAATGGCTTTTAAAAATATAACTTATTGTCCCATCATTTAAAACAGATTTGCTTTTTAGCCAATGAAAGCTTTTTTTTTTATTGGCTTTTTCCCTTACTCAGTAGGATGGTTTTCAAGATGTTAAGTATTTCATTTGAACATCAAGTATTTTTTGTTTTAAAAAACCCAAAGAACACTGCAACCATTTCTGCTTGTCTCAGTAACTTTTTGGGTTGGTTTTGTTTCACAACAGCAGTCTAAGAGGAGTTTCAAACACAGAGTTCAAAATTTTAAGTTTCCCACTTCTTTGGATCATGGAGTTCATTTACATTAGTACACTAAGTAATGTTCTGCCTTTATTGTGTGTTGTGATATATCTTTCATACCACATCACAGTCTGGTATGATTATGGTAAGAGTATCATAAATATATTTTTATTATTTTATATATAATAGCAGTACAATGGCAACTTAAAGCGGGGTAAGTCAAATTTCCAGTAGAGTAGCATGACCTTTTGCTAGGTTAAAACTAGCTCTTTCAATATCAAGTATTTAAATATGTTGTTTGTACCACTGGATAGCTATTAGCTTTCATGGAATTCCTTACATCAGAAAGATTGTCTGCTGAATCTAAAGAAATTATATAAAATCACAAGTAGTTTTGCTTTCAGAAGCAGAATAGCTGTTTTATTGAGAAGAACAAAGAGGAAAGAAGGAACATTTCAAAAATTACACTGTAGTCCAAGAATCAAGTGTATATGTGAAGAAATACATAGAATGTATAATAACAGTTACAGTATGTGCCTACAGGAATGAACACTATTATTTTAGTGGGGATATGGTAGTATTGACTTGAATGTTTCAGTGTAGTGCTTGAATATCCCTTGGATATTTCAGTTTAGGGTTTATTGGTGGTAGTAAAATCAACATGACTTTCAAAACCATTTAGGCCTACTGCATACATTAATTTGCATGTAAATGTTCTTCCCTTTCATGCTATTAGTCCTTGTGCATGTACATTTTTGTGTTTCTCCATTGTGTTAGTTCAATCATTGCCAACTAACTTTATTTTAAATTGTCTAGAAACATATAGCTCATGGCCTGATCCCTGCAGCTACCATAGCTCCTAAACCTGCTGTCCCCCGCACCCCTCCCCCTCGTAGTCCAAACCCTTCTCCAGAAAGGCCCAGGTAGGTTTCTCATCTCTTGATTTGCAGTCATTTAATATAATTTATATAATCAAATTGGTATTTGAATAATTAGAATGGCTTTATTTTGCCTGTAGATTTTTATATACCAGTCATACGTAGGATTACATTTGGAAGGGAAATAGGTACTGCATATTTGCATGTTATATAATTAGAAGAGGTTTTCAGCAATATTAAAAACAGTCTAGTTTACAGTATAAATGTTGTTAGCTTATCTTTGAAATAGAAAAAAGCAGGCTTTCTTCCGAGAGTTTATAGATTGTAGTCAACTTAGTATTATAATATGGGCTGCAGCTTTGCTCTTATTATTTTGGAGGGGTTCAGACTCCCTCATTCAATGACAAATGTTGCTCTACTACTATAGATAGTAATTATGCCTTCACCATTACTGTCCAGATATTTGGCACTTTTGAGAAGTGACTTTATTGGCACAAAGCTCCATTGTGTCAGCTGGAATCCTCCTTTCCATGGGAGCTTTCTGAAGCGTATGTATGCAGTAAAATGTAGATGGGGGAGAGAGCATAAATGGCACTGCAACTGAAAGTGGGAAATGTGTCTTTCCCCTAATAAACTTTGCACTGCTGTTGAGATTAGAATTTAGCTTACTAAAATTGAAAATAATGAAAGAAATGGATTATTTTGATTATTCCTATAAGAATTAAGAAGAATGATATGGTATTATGGCTTAATATTAAAGCTGTCATTGATAAATTTTTACTTTCCAGTGGATTGAATTGATTAAATCCAGCAGTAGATTTAATACAATATAGATATACAGCAGCACATAAAAGAATGCCCATATGAATCATTTAAACACAAAGAAATTATGCTTCGTGCCTGAGAAATTTTGTTTATCTACATGCAAATGTAATTTACTAAAGCTAATGTGATTAATACATTGAAATAATTTTAATAGAATTGCAGCTCTGTATAACTCCATATAGCATTAGGCTATACTTGGATGAGATCGTTCAGGAAGATTACAGATATTATAATTATTTTGACAAATAAGAGTGCTGAAATATCTGGATAGTTCTATTATTAACATGTCTATAACAACTGACAGCATATACATTATATATTCAGCTTTTGGGGAGGGGGTTTCCTTTAACTGCCAGTATTATATACAGTAATAATAATCTCCTTTTAAAGATACCACTTTACATTTTGCTTTTGCATTGTTCTCTCTTTTTCTGTATCATCATTTTGATTTCTTTAAAAAAACTTTTTCGCAGTTTTTATGAAAGTTTATATGGTTAGGACTGCAAACCTACACACTTATTTGGAAGTAAATCAATGAGGCACAGTTTGAATCCTATAATAAAGGCCTTCTTGGTTACTTCAGAGTACAGAGAGGAAGTCTTCATTCTTGAATATTCCTCAATAGAGGAACAAAAACTCTTCATAGTAGAAAATTGTGTTGGATTACTCAGGGCGACAACTGCCTCTCTGTACCCTGAAGTAATACAGTCAAGATACTTTTTACTGCTCATTGTATAAAGCCAGAGTGGCCTGCATGATCTTAAAGTAAAGAAGAAAGATAAGGGGAATAGTACAAATTTTTGATCTGTGATTGAGATCTTGATCCCTGGTGCATGTCACTCAGATCCAGTTCATGTGTAATAATAGTCTTGGTCTAAAAAAGTATGGTCTGTAAAGCCAATTTGCTGTGATTTCCAAATCAGAAAACCTTGAAACTTGTCATAATGGTACAGGAGGTGGGATAGCACTCATTCTTAACAATAATGGTCATGTTTTATTAGATTGAGATCATTTTGTTATATCTGCATCAGCTTTTTATTAAAACAGGATTTCTTTTTGTTTCTGTAGTAAGCAGGGTAACTTTTCAGTGTTTGGACTATAAGCCTGAATTCTACCCTGCAGGGTTTCCCACATTCTTTCAATTGTAGAGAAACATTTCTATGTATACATTCCTTCTTTTTTGGTGTGTTTTGAGTGTTTCTGTATTATTCCAGATAGTTGAAACCACTTCATGTTTTAAGATTCATATGCACATAGAGTTGAGGGATCTAATAGCACAACCTGGAGCCTCTGGGTAAACAGTGGCATAGCCTATTGAAAAATATGTAAGTAGGTGTGTATAAAGCTGGCTCTTTTCCCAGAGCTGGTGAAAGGAAAGCTCTACTAGATTCAGGAAGCAATTGTATTAAGATGTATGTTTTCATTTAATTTAAAATGTAGTTTATTTTTAAAATTGATTACGATTAAATGTATTACCTTATCTTACCTCAGCCTCCTGATCCATGGATTTTTTTAAAATGTGTTTTTTCCAGGTCTGCTCTAGCAGCAGCTATTCTTGTGACAACCTTAACTGGGCGAACTGTTGCCATCCCTCAGCCTCGTCAGCGATCTTTTTCTGAAAGTGATGCCAGCTACTTGCAAGATCAAGAAAATTGTATTGAACCATATGCCACTATCACTGAGCTGCGAATGGGGTAGAAAATATTGCACATTTTGGCACACCCAGTCCATTGGTATAAAGTAATTTTTCTTCCAGCAAGGAAGTCCAAAATTCCAACTTGATGGCCCAGTTCAAATGCAATGGGAAACTATAGACTACATGACTGTCACATTTATACATTTTGCTTTCTTCCTTTTTTGTGTGCTAAAAAAAGATTCTAAAAGTAGCTACTTTTAGTAATGTCTAAATCTTGGAAACTGCATTTTGTATAAATAGTGTTTAAGAATAAACATAGTTCCCAAATTCTGGATATTACAGAAAATTGTAGTTTGTGTAATTTTTTTTTAATATGCTTTAATATTGAGAATGTGAGAGAGAATAGAATGTAAAAATGGGCAATATGAAAGCTCATATTTCCTGCGGATTCATTCACGCAGTGGGAAATCATAGTTTCCTGTTTTGTTGAAGGAAGTCTTTGTTTGCAAGTGGGAATGGATTGTTCATAATCTTCAATTACCCATTTTCTACTACAAACTACGTAGCATTACGCTACAGAATCCAGAAATATTGCAAAACACAGTTTAAGAGCTAGTTTGGTTCATAAAGAATTATGGGTTAGTTGTTGGAGTAATGCATGACTCAGGTTCACAAATATACATTAATAGCTACAAATTAAGAATGTTTTAAACTGATTGTAGCTTGACTCTTTTCTTATGAAGTATTTCTGCTACATGGCAGTGGTGGTGTTGTCAACATTTATAGAGTTACATCTTAACTATGATTCTTTATTAAAACACCGTAAAAAGGTTTTCCTTAGAAAACCATTTCTGATTTGAGATTGGTAAACATTCAGAAGAAATGTCTGACTAATAAAAGCATTAATATGAGAAGCACTATGTACTTTTAATTGCCTCTGAATTAGGATCTCCATATGATCAGGAACCCTTTTGTTTTGTTTAATAGAAAACTATATCATGCAGGAAAAAAAAGTTAGTAAAAATCCCCTATATTTTTTTAAAAAAACATTTCATAGGATACTTAATACATTCTTTATGGTTAAATATATATTGTATTGAGTTACAATTTTAATGGTTTCTGTTTACAGTCCAAACTGGAAGAGTGATGGTGATGAAAGGAGTGCTGTACAAACTTTGGAAGCATCTGGCAGTTGTTGCGAGGATGAGGACGTGGATACATATACTTCGGATACAGAAAAAGAATCAGATCCGGTCTGTCAGTTTATTGATAAAAGAGAAAGCATTAGTCATGAGGTTCTGTATGCTATGCCACATAAAATCAAACAGGTAAGCTTTCAGCATTTTTCTTCTAGTGCTTGAATACAAATTATAAGATTCCCCAATCCTTGTTATTTCCTCTGCAAAGTTGTATTATTATGTGGTCCTTAAGAGTTTGGGGCATTCTTGCCTAGGGGTGTGAGCTGTTCCAAAAGAAGGGAGCAGCCATCAAGAATGTAAATCTGTGTCCCGTCTGTTGTACCTCTTATAGAAAGGGACCTTCAACAGGTGGTTTCCATTTACCCAGGTTGATCAGGCAATATGTGATCGGGATAGACAGTCTCTAAGATGACCAGGAGTTATTTTTTATATTAAGAGGTACCCTATATCAGTGGGAGATTTAAAATACTTATTTCCTTTCATTATCCACTAAAAACTGTCAGGAAATCATACATTCTGTTTTTTCATGGCTCAATTTGGGGATGAGGGACGCTTTCAATGGACATAAAAAAAGTTTCAGGAGGCTGTAGTTTGCTATGCCCTGTTTAAGGACATTTTATGTATTTTTTGTTTTCCTCTTTTTAATTGATGTTTTATTTTACAATGAGATTGTTAGCTGCCTAGAGCCTTTTGGTGGCATCTATTTCTGTAAGTGAGCTGTGGACTTATAAGGTATATCACAATATTTTTACTTAGGAAAATCTCCCAGTATCTTCTAGTGCCAATGGTGAAGAAGATTCTTCTGTCTGTGAACCAACATGTCTCATTCATCCAAATGTTCAGGTGGAAGGTGAGAAGTGAGCTTTAGAATTAAGGAGAAGATAAAGAACCTTTTTTTACCATCTGCTCCCCACCTTTAGACTGATGTGTTATTTAGTCTAGTACTTCAGGCTCCAATAATTTTCCCCTATGTGTGGGGGGAGAATGCATAGCTGACAGAAAGAGAGAACCTGAACCAGATGAAAAGGACAAGGGTAACTGTGCCTTATTCCTTTTCATCTTCTTCCCTGAATAAAACAGAAGATAGAGATTTTTTTTGTTTTGTTTTAGAAAAACCCTCGTAGCTTGTACCTCCATTTTCCTAATCCTTTTCACTCGCCAAGGTACTTATTTAAGAGAAAGGTGGAAAAATTAGAAACTAAATGAGATGAAACTAGACAGATCATTCACCTGAAGGCTCAAACTTGATAGGAGCTTTGGAATTTCATTTGATATATTTTTCCTTTATATTTCAAAACAAATACTTTTTAATATTACAGAAATTGAATACCCTGGAGTGAAGTTTAAGGTAAGAACAGCATAAAAAAATTATGTTCTGTGATTTCAGTTAAGGACATATTTGTGTCTTTTCATTTCCATATTTCTCTAAGAACTTCAGGAAAGGTGGTACGCTCTTCTTTCATTTTTTCCTTCCCCCTTTTCAACAGTTCTGGAGATAGATCAGTCTGAGACAGTATCAAGTATTCTCCACAGCTATGTTGAGATTGAATTAATGTCTCTGCAGTCTTCCTATAGATATGGTGCAGATGACAAGTAATATTTGTGTGGGTGAGACCCTCTTAGCAGGTCTGTCCATTCTGTCTTCTGTCATTAAAAAAGTTGTATATAGATGTTATTCCTGGAATTTCAAACTCGCTTAACTTGCAGTGTGGGAGATAGTGGCTGCCTTTTATTCTGTAGGGAGGTCTTACTTATCTATATCTTTAAGGCAGTGTTTCTCAACTTTGTCAAAAAGATATGTGGACTTCATGGAGGCTGGGGAATTCTGGGAATTGAAGTTCACACATCTTCAAATTGCCAAGGTTCAAGTTGCCAAGTTGCCACTGATTTAGAGTATCTTATTGGGATAGAAAATCCTGAGTCCTCCAGTTACTTGGAGGTGGGTGGAAGGCTAGCTGCAGATACTTTTTTTGGAAAAGGAGGGGGTCCTATAAGAAATTAGGTTAAATATTTTGCTTCGTTTCTAGGAAAACAACTCAGCTGAAAATCCCCTGAATGAAAAACCTCCATCATCTTCAGGTACAAACTCTCTTAGTTTAGTGTAAATAGGATTTTTGTGTTGGATTCTACAGAATAGATTAAGTGTAGTTCTGAACCATAATTTAACATAGCAAGAACTTGGGACTTGTTTGTTTCCCCATGTCTTCCTACACAGCCATGAGGAGTAGCCCCATAATCGTTGTTTTGTTTTAGAATAACCACTGCTTGCCTTCAAATATCACTGAAGCTGGAAAACGTGTAGCTCAGATTAACAGGGTCACTAGCAGCAAGCCAATTTCAAGCCAATTGTTAACATAAGCTATTATTCACTTCCTGTCTGGGATGGTACTCTGAGTGCACGTCTCTCACCTCTCTCCTGATTAAAGTGTTTTCAAACTTCTGAATTATCGGACTGTGTGGATAAGGACTTTCATTATCGGGTAAATAACACTTTTCGTTACATATTATTTTGTTTTTAACAAGCTATTGGGATAGCAGCACCACTATCTGCCAAGCCTGGCAAGATGGTGGAGGAAGATTTTTCTACCAATTTGTTAAAAGTCTTTAACAAATTGTACAAGTCATGAAGCTGATCCAACAAAATCTGGCAGAACTTAAATGTGATTTAAAACAGATGCAAGAAAAAATGGCTCGCCATGAGGATCAATTGGCTGCCTACAAGATTACTCAAGCCAGAGATAATATTTTGGATAAACAAATTACTTAGAGTCGCAATTGTGCAGGAAAATTCTACATATGATTGTCATTGAAAACCCTCCAAGTCAATCAAACCTGGCTGAATTTATGGAGGATTTTTTCAGAAAGCTTCTTCCTTTGGGAACGGATTTTCCAGTCAAGATTAAAATTTGATTTTAATCAAATGTGATTAAAATTTCTTTAACAAGAAGGAAGACTGGAACTAGTTCCAATATCATTATTGTGCAATTCCTTTGTGTTACCACAAGAGATGAGATTTTACGTATATTTCGCCAGGAATCAGTAAAGTCTGTGCTGAAGTGGGGTTCTAGCTAAAGTAAGATATCAGTTTGTCCTGATGTTACCAAGGAAGTCTCTGAAAAGGGAAGGCTGTTCATAAAAGCACAAAGTCTTGCCAGATCAATACAACTTCAATATTTCATCCGTTTTCCAGCTACGTTCTGCATTAATCATCAAGACCAGATTCACAAATGTGATAATCCTTTGAATGTAGAGGCCTTTATTTTATCTTTGAAATCTGCTGATGGATAAGCCTGATTGTGTTATATTCCATGGAATCTGTCGAGGGAGAAGTTGGGTTTGCCTAGAGATGTGTAGCAAAAGCCTTATTTTAAAATGCTCTACGCCTTCATTTTTTTCTATACTCCTCTCTTCATTTTATTATGGTTAATTTAAAGATAAAAAGTCTGAGCACATTGCCAGTTCTACTGTTTATCAGCCTGATTATGTCTCATTCCATAGAAACTATTGAGGGAGAAGTTTGAATCTTACACATAATATACAGGTAGTCCTTGCTTAACGACCATTTATCAGCGACCATTTGAAATTATAACGGTGCTGAAAAAAATAAAATGACTTATGCCCAAAGTTATAGCCGTTGCAGTGCCCCTGCGGTCACATGATCAACATTTGGGCACTTGGAACCCCACCCTCACTTATGACCGCACCTTCAACTTCCTACCTCCGCCGCCCCAGCTGACCTTCACCATTTTCTTGCTCCAAAAAGCCCTTCACAGAAGGAATGAGAGGAGGCACTGGCTTGGGGAAGGAACAGGATGCCAGCTTGGGGAAGGAACAAGAGGCACAGCTTGGATAATGGTGCAAGGTGGTGAAGACTAGCGGTGTGGGGCTTAGTGGCATGTCTTAGTGGCAGCGGTGGTGCTGGGGCTGTATTTGAGGCCTGTGGGCGGTGATAGCTGGCTGACACTGCTGAAGGCCTCGGGTCTCTACTTCAGCCCCAGCCCTGGCACTGCCGCCGCCAAGTGCCACTATGCAGGGTGGCTAAAAGGGCATAGATGAGGGAGAGATAGGCGGGTGAGGGGAGTTGCAGCACCCCTGCAGTCACAACACCCCTGCAGTCACAACTGCCGCTGGGGTGGGCTGGGATGGCTGAGGCTTCCAGGGACAGCTGTGGCTTTGTGTCACAGTGCAGCACCTCCCCAACTTGGACATGGCCTGCACCAGGCCTCCCAGGGCCTCCTCCATCCCCGAGGCACCCCTACCCTCCTTAACTGGGACTCCATCCGCTTAATGACATATGGTTCTTGTTTAATGATGGCAGCCGGGAGTGCTGGGATTGCAGTAGTTAAGCAAAACGGTCACATGATGATTCTCTTAACGACCGCATCATTTAACGACCTAAATTCTGGTCCCAATTTTGAGTGTTAAGTGAGGACTACGTGTATTTAGATTTGGATATATTACTACACTGCAATCACTACTTACTTACAATCTAAAATGGAAATTGAAGTTTTTGTACTAGAGTGGTGCGGTATTTTGATTTCATAAGCAAAATGGTGCTTTGAAATGTGCACCAGACTTTCTGCAACTCCTTAAACCAAATACATCTTTTCCTGGGATTGTACTATAGCTGCAGAGGGCAGCTGTGGAATCCCAGAAAAAGTTAAAGCTGCTTTAAGGAGTTGTTGCATATGCTAGAAGAACATTCTTCTGTTCTTTGCAGCTTTTTTCTGCGTTGACTCCAAAGTGCTGCATGGTCTGTTCTGTTTATTCTGTATTAGTAATTGCCCCTGCCTAGGATCTACATCCTATCTCACTATAACGCTTTTTGAGGGTGAAGAAAAGATAAATTGTTTCCCACAAAATAAAAAGACAAAAATCTGTTAGAGTTTGCAACTTAAGATATATCTTATGTAAATTTAACAATTATTAATGATGTAAGGATCTTCAAACTACTCAAATAGATTAACTAGTGATTACTGTTGAGACAGAAGTCTTGTCATAAATGCAAAAAGCTTGCTTCTAAATAAAGATTCTTACAGTACAGTTGTTTTACCAAAAGGTTTGCATATATTTATGAGATTGATGAATATTTTATTTAATTTCTTGGATAGATGCAGTGCTTCACAGAAAGCAGGAACAGATGGTTCTCCCTAGAGAGAAGTTCCAGAAATTAAAAGAACAAAATTGGTATCTCAACAATGCAAATCAGACCTTATTTTCAGAACTTGAACAATCAAAGCAGTTAATGAAGGAACTCCAATTAAAAATTAAGAAACTGGAAAAAGAGAACAGACAATTTAAAGAAAAACAGAATTCACACAATCAAGGTGCAAATGAATCTATTTACTTTCCATATAATTTATTGCATTCATGTGGGAGAGAATAAAACTATATATGTGGGAATAGAGGGAAGAATGGTTGAACTTTATCATTCTACATGTATCATTATTTAACGTATCCAGCAAACTTAGAAATGATATGGAAAAAATAGAAACTTGTAATGTATCTGAATGACAACTAACATAGATGACAGTTGAAAACAAATCATAAGATTGTTTGTATCATGCATTAGAAGGTAACTTAGAAATCAGTTGAATTAATAACCCCAAGTTCGTTTTATAACTCTTTGTCACCATCCAGAATTTGTGATCTAAGAAATGCATTCCAAGCACGCAGGCCTATGGGGTTGTTTGGGAGAAATTTCTCATGCTGCTACAGGATTGTCTGCTGGGTCCACTTTTTTGTAGATCCACTTGGAAGTGTTTTTACGCACCTTCTCTGATCTTGAGGCTGGCATCTGAAGCACACTAATCTAACTTGTCATTCTAGTTCCTCCCCCAGGACAGGATTCTTTGAAGCATGTCATAAAATATCAAGGAAGTTTCAGCAGGTTGCCCTTGATCATTTCATACCCCCAAAAATGAGGACATCACCTTGTTTCACTTGTTTTAGATTCAGACTATTTTTAACGTAACTTCCAAAATATCCATCCAGGCAAGTTTGATCTGGGCCTGGTAATGGGTCCTAGGGTCTTAAGCAGAGATTTTTTTCATCATCTGCTTCCTGATCCTTTAATTGGACATACCTGACATTTTCTTCATATAAAGTATATGTCATTGTCATTGACCTGTGGTCCCAAGCTACATGCATAGGTTTTCCCATTCAGTCCTTTGGATTTGGGTTAGATGTTACAGCAGCTATGGCATTATAGAGCAGGCCTGCACAATTTGTAACTTTCATGATTTATTCCTGACTATATATGCCCATGAATCCTTTTGTTTATGCGATCTCAGAGTAGCAGCAAAGTAGGCGTAGTAAACTGCCATGTGTCGCTGATGAGCTACATTGGGTTTGGTGGATCCCTAGTTGTACAGGTGAATTTTAAATAGTTTTATGGATTTACTCTGTCTTTAAAGAAGAGCTATTTATCATAGCATTCTGAGTTTCAGTTAGATTTTGGAGACGTTTTGGTAACGTGCACATCTTATAGAATTTTAACCTGCTTTTTCTTTTAATTCAGAGGAATGTGCAGAATTGATTTTGTTAAGACAACAAGCCCAGGAATTAGTGGATGAAAATGATAGTTTGAAAATGACCGTTCACCGTTTAAATGCAGAACTGAGTCGTTATCAAACTAAGTACAGACCAATTACTCCCAGTGAGGTAATGTTTTCTCTTAAGATTATTTGTAATACGCTATCATTAACATTTAAGCATCCCCCGCTCATTTGTTAAGAAAGAAAAAGACAATAGCCTCTCTTCAGCAAGAAGTATATCCTTTACTGCAGTGCTCTAACTTGGATATCATATACCCTCCCTCCATTGTGACCACCAGAAAGTGTTTCAAAATTTTCCTCCACGTTGTTATTGTTAGAAGTAGTAGTTGTTATTTTTAATATATCTTTTCCCATTATTGTAATTCTTGCAGCAGTTTACAACAGAGCTATTACAGTGCAACGATCCAAGCAATACAATTAAAAATGTATAAATTTAACAGATTCATTAAAATGGTGAGAAGGAAAATGTAACTGAACCCAAATCCTTCATGCAACATTTATTCAGAGAAGTGATAGATCTTTAGCAGGTGCTCAAAGCATAGTTAATGCTGTAGTAGTAACTATAGTACTATAGTTATAGTAGCATTTCATGAATTTCTGGAGAGAGAGCATTCCTGTGATGGTATGTGGAGATGACCTTGGAAGACAGGGCAAAGAGACACAGCCAAAGGAATGGTCAGATAAAAGGCAGCTGAGCCTCTTGCCCCACTCACATTCCTGTTGCAGACTCAGCTGCCTTTTATCTGACCGTTCCCTTGGCTGCATCTCTTTGCCCTTGTCTTCCAAGGTCATTCCCACGTGCCATTACAATTCCAGAGTTCAGAGCCACCACAAAGAGGTCCTGCCCTCATATAACTGGAAGATGGCATTCCAGTTCTCAGCACATGATCTTGGTGATCAAACCAGAGTGTAATGATGATGGCAGTTCTCATGTATCCTGGTTATTGCTCATCCTCATTATGTGTTGACTCTTTAATGTAGTCGTATCTTTTTTCAGGCTTATATGAAAGTCTGAAAAAGGGCTCTCTGCTTTAACCAACAGGAGAGGTGCTATGCTTGTGTGACCACTCAAGTGTTTTTGCCAAATCCTTTTCAAAGCATGTACACCCTAATGGTTGCATTCTTGTTTGTTTTTTTAAGGGCAGTAGTAAAGATTATTCATTATAGTTTTCGTTCCTTTCTACATTCAATTAATTTTAATAGGAAATTAACTCAGGTGTCTGAAGTTTTGGTAATGTTAGTCTGGTTTTGATTTTTTCAAAAAAATACACTTCTTCAATGCACAGGTACAGAAGGTTGTTGGTACTAATATTAGCTTACATTTTTACTATCTTAGAGTATAAAGATTGGAAGTCTGCCAATGAAGAAACCAATACCCCCATGGCTGGTAAGTAGCAAATTAATAAGTTTCAGTTTATAGCACCTGATACCTTCACTATTAGCTATTTCCAAATTGTAGAAAATTAATTGCCTTATTGACGAGAGACACATCTATAGTTTTGAATGTGTGGAAGGAACTATAGTTTATGTAGAAGAATGGGACAGATTTCCTGAGCTTAAAAGATCATCTAAAAATCTAGTAGTGGCATTTCCATTAACATAATTGGTTTTTAAACTTTGAATGTAGTACTGATCCACTACTTTTATGTAATTATTTCAAAGACTTGTCAGTGAAATAGTATATTTATAAATAATGTCTTAGTTGTCGTTAGTAAGTAGGATAGATAGCATCAGTATTTTGTGTTACCAACATAAGATGATGAAGATACTTTTTCATATTTTATCCTCAACTAGCATTTTCTAGAAGGCATAAAGTTATTCTATGTAAACTCTGTTTTCTCACTTTACGAATTGACTTTCTTTCCTCGATTAGTGTGAACCCTAAAGTTGACAAGGCATGAACCAGCTATTCTCAGGCTAAACTAAACATTAAGTAAATATTGTGAAGATGGCTACCAATCTCAAGGCCAGGAAGACCTGAAAAGGCTAGCAGGCAGAAAAGTCCTAGAGCGGTGTTTCTCAACCTTGGCAACTTTAAGATATGTGGACCAACTCCCAGAATTCCCCAGCCAGCATGGCTGGTTGGGGAATTCTGGGAGTTGAAGTCCAC